CTATAGAAATAAACTGAATAGAATTGTACATGTGACCCGCCTGAGTTGTGATGGCTGTGTCCTGCTGGAGGAGCAGCTAGGCCGCATCTCCCTCCATGGTTCTTTCCACACTGCCACCTACAGGAGCTCTGAGATTCCTGCAGCATCTCCAGCTTTCATGGAGGAGAAGAACCTGCTCAGGCAGACCTCCAGGGCCAGGCTTCCTGTTCACTGCAGCTCCTCATCAGAACACCAACCTGACCCGCCTGGCTTCTTAGGTTGGACTGACGCCTGGTCCGACCCGGTTCCAGAAGAAGCCTGCAACTTTTCATCTCATTGGGTGGAGGTCCAAAGCTGGTGTTGGCGTTATGTTCCAGAAGCAGTGAAAGTGGGACTGTTTCCTGACGTATCAGAGGGATCAGAGTGGATCAGCTTACCTGTAATCCCTGACCTTTGACCCACATCCACATGGCCTCAGTTGATCGGCCCGCTCACCGAGCGCCCAGCCTCATCTCACACCAGAACCAGGAACCCTAAAAACATTCAGTTCATTAGAGCGTTCTGGGTTCTGTTCAGGCTGATGTTCTGTTTCTGTAGAAAGGATTCCGGTCCGGCCCCCTGGGGCCCGTCTGCGTCACGCCGGCTGGTCTGAGCTTCAAATGACATCAGCAGAGCTAATCTGTCTCTGAGCAGATTACCCTCTTCATCTGCAGCAGAGATGGACGACCTGCAGGAGAAACTCTGCTCTTTAGGAGACGGACCAACCAGAAGCTTTGTGCTAAAATGATCTGCTCCTCAGGTGGGTGGAGCTGATGCAGAAGGTGGAGCTGATGCAGAAGGTGGAGCTGATGCAGAAGGTGGAGCTGATGCAGAAGAAAGAACGAAGGAGACAGTTTGGTTCTGATGTTTTTATGGATCACATGTTCTACAAACTTCTCTACATTCACAACCAGTAAGAACACTCTGCTACTGCGTGCTGCTCGGTCCAGTTTCAGTCCAACACGGAACCAGACGGCCACATGACAGCCTGCAGACGGTCACTGCAGAATCCCCCATAGAACTAGATCTCACAGATCAACAGAACCTCTGTGGGACCATTCCCACAGCAGTCTGACATCACTTCCTTCAACTATGACTCCACTTCCTGCTTCCGTTCCTGTATCTTTGACATCACCCCTTGGATCTTGGACCTCACTTCCTGTAAATATAGCTGGACTTCCTGCCTGCTGCTGTATTCACCTGAGGCACTGTCAGCTCTACCATCTCCCTATGATGCTGTGGTGGTCCGTAATCCAGCATCCCCCATAATCCAGCTGTTGGTATCTCCCTATAATCCAGCGTCTCTCTATAATCCAGATGTTGGTATCTCCCTATAATCCAGCATCTCCCTATAATCCAG